TTAACTAGACAGCGACTCTTACTAGAATCTGTCTCGGATAGTGAAACAGTCCATGTGCCACGCAAGCAAACTCACCAGGGCTGCAGTAGAGCCACGACTAACCTTGCTACCTACAGTTCATTATAGTGGAGTTGGAGTCATTCCAATGTGGGAGGAACTGACTTGAGAGGGAGTATATGCACTTATATGGACAGTCCATAGGAGCTAAATAGTCTAATACTTTTTCTTTTTCCAAAATATGATTAAATAAAAATAGTGCCGGGGAACCACTTTGAAAGTGTTGTTTTCCAAATTACCACTAACTTGACCGTGGAACAAGCTGAACCATAGCAAACCTAACCAATGGTGTAAAATAATGTTAAACTGTTGAGAAAAAAGTAGTTCAATGTACATTATTCAGTTGGTAACTGAGTCAGCTTTGGGTTTACATACATGTCTGTGAGTCAGAACTCTGCCTTCTAGAGACTTGAGTCCAGGTGGGGGTATTGCACGCAGCAGAATAACTCATTCAGCTCAAATAGCATGTGACAACTTGTCTGAACATTTGTTTATCTATAATGACATTGCTGTATGAGCTCTGAGCCACACTCACCCTTTTGCACATGTTCCACAAGTTGCCTATGGATTCATGACAATTCAAACCCTAACCCTAACTATAACCTAACTTATTTTATTTAAAAAAATGTTCTTCTCAAGTCTTGGCTAACAGTGAAAAAAGAAAATAACTATTCAAACTGATCCTAAAAACTGTTTACATTTTTTTTTTTCAAAAAACATATTTCTCAAAAATATAGGGTTGGAGTTAAAGTTAGGGTCGTCACTGGGTTACCTGTTTAAAACTCCAGCAACACTTGCAGGATATATAACAACCTTTTTGTTTTACTCGTGCAACAATGTTTGACCAAACGCATGTGTCTTTAGGGTCAGCTTTGACAGCTTCACAATTTGTTGTCTTGGAAGTAAGTTATAGTGTGCCAGAAGCGTCTACTTTGTTTTGACAAATGCATTAAGCCATATTCATAGCCACGCATTGTTTTCATAAATGTCTTCATTTACATACTCCTATAGCTATGCAGGGAGAAGGATGATGGAATGGAATGAAAACTGCATTCAGTCCTCTAAAAATCTAACAGCAGACCGCAATGAAGGTGGACACATTACAAATCCTATTTTATTATAAATGTCTCTGGAAGAGAAAAGGGATGGCAAACATCCACTTTCTGTCACTTATCCATGGCAGGCACTTAGGCTCTGAGGCATTCCCAAACCAGCCCAGAGGCACTCTCTCTCCAGTGTATCCTGGTTTAGTCCTGAGATCAGCCCACACATTGATATGCCCAAAACACCTAACTAAGCAGGCAACCAGCAGGCATCCTATTCAGATGCCTAGACCAGCTCTTCCAATGTGGAAGGATCCCTTCTGAATCACAAAGCTCCTCAACCTGCCTCTATTGTAGAGTCGGAACAAGAAACTTATTTCCTGCCCTGACTGGAAATGAGCTCCTCGCACACAGCTCTTGATCATAGACACCACACCATCCTTCCATCATAAAGGATGGCAGGGTACCCATGAACATGACCCTGAGATATGAACTCCTCCATTGGGGGCAAGTATGAATGCCGCCATTTCCCCATTGAGAGCCATAGCCTCAGACTTGGAGGTGCTAATTCTCACCAAAGCCGCTTCACGCTTTGTTGCAAACCACCCCACTGCCACTGTGACCTGGAGGTTACTGTTTGATGACAGAACCATATCGTCTGCAAAAAGCAGAGAGTAGATCCTGAGGCCACGTCTACAGTAGCCTGGATGAATTTGAAAACGGTGTTTTTGTCTGCACTATCGTTTTCAGTCGCTTTCACAGAGTTGTGCGTCCACATTGAAAAGGTCGAAAACACTTACACGCCAGTACTGCGCATGCGTGAAACGCAAGACGATTCGACCTTTTTTTTAAATGGACTAACAATGAGGTGGAGTTGTTGCTGTGAGTAACACAAAAGTGCAAAGTTGCAAAAGCGAGTGAGAATTAAAGAATTTGAAGAAAAGCTATCTGGAGCATGTACAGACTGATATCAATCTTTAATAGATTGAGAGCAAACAAAACAACTGCTGTTTAATGCCTCCACTATCTTAGTTTAATTGGTCACACGACTGCATCACATGACTAAAATGTGTCATCGTTTTCAAAAAGGCTCCGGGTTCGCTGTCCACACTGTTCGCTGTCCACGCTGTGTCCACACTGTGATGCCAAAGTATCCGCTTTGGAGGGCGTTTTCAAAACGCCGCCTCAGTGTGGACGGAAGGCCAAAACAAAGAGAAAAAGATGTGTTTTCAAATGAAAACGTATTAGTGTGGACATGGCCTGAGACCACCACCATTTCTTGACCGCACTTTGACTGAACCAACAAATTCTATCAAAAAAAAAAAAAAATGCAAATAGAAATAGTGGCAAAGGGCAAAGTCCAGCTTCAGCCCACTACAAAAAAAGTTATCACATTTTAACAATGATGCTGATGCAATACAGCTTATGGATGCCTATGGATGGCCACCACAGTACCATGACAGGATCTTCACCCGGGTATGCCATCATAGTGGGAAGGATCTGGACAGGAAAAGAGCCTTCATTACAGTAGACAAGTCATATTTTTTAAACTTCCATTCTTTTTATGGCCCACAATTTTAGTTTTAGTTTTAGAAGTTAATTAACTACCAGCAAGCTCCGGGAAAATTCTGTTAAATTACTAGTTTTATTACATGCCGTTCTCTACTCCCCAACTCTAATTAAAACCTTTCACAGTCAATGGCTCAACAACAAACATGCCAGCATAATCCCAGAAAGATACATTCTGCAACAACTGAGCAAATTACACGGAGAGTTCAGCAGAAATATAAGCTATATAAGCTATCAAGTGGTTATTTAATTGATTTTTTTTTGTCTTTGGCCATTAAAAATGTCACTGTTAGAATTAACTGTTACTGAAATGAGTCAAATTTATGCCCACCCACATGCACTGACTTTGAAAAAATCTTTAAGGCCCATTTCCTGATTTCAATGAGAAAAGCAGTTACACTTAGCACATAAAACGGTTTGAGCTCCTGCCTTTCAAAAAAAAAAAAGTCCCTAAGCTGAATACAGGACTTTCTGGTTTCCCTGAAACTACCAGGAAGAGGTCTCGTATTATCAACTGTCGGACGTGATAGTACTTTAAGCAAAAGTTGTGGAAAAAAAACCTCCAAAAACTGCAACTGAAATTCAACATCTATTAAATCGCTTTTGTCTGCTGTTGTACTTAAAAAAAAATCTAATGACAATTATATGTGGCCTTTAAGGGCTTTTCATCTTAAGCTGCAGATACGGACACGCAACATGCACTATTCAGATTTAGATAAAAACACAGTTATTTACTGGAACTTCAGAAACATAGACACAATTGGAATAGTATAACTTCTGTTCTCCTTTATCACTTCTGTGAATCTGTGTGTGAAAATGTTATTTAATCCATCATCAGCGTCTTCCTAACAAGCGCTTCAAAAGTGCTGTAACGCAATTAAGGATGCAAAACGCTGACTTAAAGTTCTTAATTTTAGTTCCCTCTGAGCCATCATCGCTAAAAGTTAAATAAAAAGCTACATTTCTACAGCATTTCATATTTGAGGGGATATACTCATACAGAGGTACAGAACCTGCATATTAGGTATAAAGTTATGCTACTTTTTTCTCTGTTTAGTCCTTCCCCCCAACCTCATCCCTCCCACCTCCTTTCCCTGCTCCCTTCTTTTCAAAGTATTGTCACCCTAGATGGTTCACACGGTCTCCTCTTCACCATGTTTCCGGTCATAAATCTCTACAACACACCGTGAAGGCACATCCCCTGAGACGGATTTAACACAACACTCCGCACCCCACTGGTGCTCTGAGAAAAGGGCGACAGGAGCTGGCACACTGCCACACACACATTTGCAAACACTCCAACCAGAACTGACACTTTCCCGGTAGATATTTTGTTGAAGGAATCCAGGAAATGAGCAAGGTAGAGGCTGACTTTAATGAAAGTAGCAATGAAACTACTGTGGAGAGACCGTGGGGAAAGAGTGAGGTAAGAATTTAGAAGACAATTCTTTCTTTTTTTTTTTCTGTGTGTGTGTTATGGCTTGAGTTGGACTCTGACTCATGGTGCTTGTAGGGGGTTTTCGGTGACTCATGCTTTTCTCAGAATGGGCCTGTGGAATCCCTCCGATAAGACTCCCCACCCCAGGAAATTGGATAGTGGTATTTGTCACATTGTGTGTCTCACTAATGGCCCACAAGCCCTCCTCTTCATCCACCACCTTCCGCCGTCTTATCCCTTTTTTCCTCAGGTCACAGCACATGTCACCCACCTACAGTGCTCTGCCAAATGTCAGCTTCTTTGCTCCCCCCTGCCATCTTTCAAATGAGTAGCCTATGGGTGGCCCCAGTCTGCACTATGAACGCGAAAAACTAAACCAGTGACAGCCTGTTTGTTTTTTTACCTCGCCAACAGCACCCCACACCTACTCTCCCACACCAAACTACTGCCATCAAACAAGCGCCATACATATACTCCCCTGCTGCCACATCTACCATGCCACACACACTCCTGGACCACATTCTTACATCCCTACCCCCCATACTCTCCCACACCACACACCCACAAACACACCTGACCGACTTCATTTCCTGTGAGGCATGAGTCAGACGGCTGGAGTGCATTTACTGGAGTAATACATGGTTATTAGCCATTCTGATAATATAGTGTTGATGTGGCTGTCAAGGCAACCTGGGCTGCAAAAAAGGGGGATTGTGTAAGTGTGGGTGGTTGGGATGAGTCTTTGAGGATTCTTTGGAAGTGTTCAGGCATGCGGTGGGTCTATTTGTATGTCCGCAGGTGTGTGTGTGTGTGTGGGTGTGTGTGTGTGTTTGAGGGACAGAGACGAGGTATAAAGAAACAACAGAGATAAAACAGCAGGGAGAACCAGTCACCTGCTTTTTCTTGTAGAAACCCTTTCTGTCACAGTTGGGTATGCGGAAGCCTCTCGGGTTAAGCACGTTGCTGATTTTAAGGCTGTTAAGGATGCTCTCCATCTCCCGCCGACATGGCCCCTAGCAACATAGTAAACAAAAGCATTAATATTAGGCCGCCATCCTTACACATTCACAAACAGGAAGAACACCGGGCACAGCCATGCAAGTTCAAAAGTTTGTGGTGAACATCAAAGCCTATAAAAGGTACCGTGTTGAACCTTTAATGTTTTATCCTACTAATCGGCTCCAAAGCTAAACGTATCATATCAATTCTGATGTAATCCATTATTCTTATACTTATTCTTATAATATGTTTAACATGCCATTGAGCTTCTGGATTTTTCCTGCGGTTTTAAATAAAGTTCTGTAAGTTTGAGCAACCTATGCTGAGCCCGTGTCGAAGTGCAGAAACAAACACACTGTAAGGTCCAGGTTGAAGAGGTTAAATCCCAAAATGAGATAGTCACTTTGTGAAAAAGTGGTACCTTCTGTTACAAAATGTTTGTAATCAAAACTACTGGTGTTTAAACAATAGTAGATAACATAAAAGTACCCTGTGGATTTTTGGACCACAAATTGCACCGTATAGCTCCGCTATAATGAGAGATTTGCCATATTGTTTGTATTTTGTTTCTTTCCTGCACATGAAAGAAGCTACACATTCATACCACCTACCATGGCTTGACAGTATGCATTTATGCGATCATAGTTGGGCCACAGTGGAATGTTGACCCACTTTATCTATGAGACAAACTGGCTAATGCACAGTTTGCTTCTTTATAGATTATAGATCTTTATAGAGAGCTTTCTTTTGTTAATTCAACACTAAATAGTGTCAGAACTTGGTAGTTTGTTGAAACCTGGGTTGCAAATATTCCTCAACAACGTGCAAACACATATCATCATTTACATTTCACTGCTTCAAATGGTGCCGCAGCATCGTGGCATATCAGCAAGCATAATACATGTCTTGATTGCAGCTATTGATTTGAACTCTCTTCTATTTTCACTGCTAATGGCATTTCTTCAGAATAACTTATCCAGACTTAATGTTGTTAAAAAATATAATAAAGTTGGTGAGTTAATTAGCTAGCAAAAAAGTTCTGTTGTTTGAAACACGGTGAAGAGTTCTGCTCTGCATTTCCCTCTCATTTTCTGGAATACTGATATTCCAGAAAATTCTTATATAAAGAGTTTTAAGCCTTGAACCAAGCTGATTAGCTATAGGCTAAATCATAATCATAAAAAGACTTCTTCTGGAAAAAAATAATAATAAAAGAAATGGAGGGAGGGGCAACGCCACAAGACTGTACATATTTACTTTTAATGGTAAAGAAAATAATGTATTGCAAATCCCTGATTCCACAGTGATCGACTTCCAACCTTTTTCTCAAATGTAATGTCTCAAAAATATTTGTTATCAGTGCCATATAATAATAGCTTTGCATACATATTGTAGTTTGTATTGTACGTGTGTATAAAAGTGACCTGAAGTTTGCCAGTTTAAATATTTTTGGTTGCAATCGCCTTCACAAATCAGAAACATCTCTGTTTCAGTTTACAATTATAGTTATTTTCCATGACATCATGAATAAAATGCTTTTGTATTAAATCAAGGTGGATATCATGCTGAATTTCTACATTGTGTCATAATGTAATAGCTCACAGTAAGTCTGCTTTTATGGTTACAGAATTATGGTTCATAACGAAAATCTCTGTGGAGAATATAAATGGGATTTTTATTACGGACTGTTACACTCTATGACTAGGCTGCTTTCCCAGAATATATAATTTTTATGATGCACAGTTGTAATAAAAAGTACTTATAAATAATGCAGCTGACCAACTACTGTTACTTTTGAGTTCAAAAATCAATATTAGTCTTAATGTACAATAATTATTGCAGTGAAAAGAGCTAGGACAGATGAAAAGCTAGCTAAAAACCTAGCAAGCTAACAACCTCCTAACAACTCTCAGTTGCAGACTTTTCAAGTAGCAACTTACTTTCATTTCTGTAATTGGTTGTTTTTGTTTTGGTTGCAGTTGTTTTCCCCCATAGTGCTACAAAATGGCTAAAAAGCTCATTTTAATTGGCTAGCAAAAAATAAATAAATTCTGCTAAGACTGTGACACTAGTCTTTCGTCTCATCTTGGGATTTGTGCCATTACTGGGATGGGCAGTGTGCAAGGCAGTGTTGTTAGAAAGCAGGTGTGCAGTAGTCCTTTTGGTAAACACTTTTTATTTGACAGCAAATAAAAATGGCCATAAGCATTTGGATTGCTGATTCAGCAATCCACATGATGCAAAAAAGTGACACAAAATAACAAATTTTTCAGATCTGAACTGCTCGCGTAATGTATATCCACAATGAAAGTGTTGTGTTTGGGGAAAATTCGTCTGAGGAAAAATAGTGTTACTTTACTATTTACTATTACTGTACAGATGCACATTATGAGCTATGGTCAAAATTGTTACAGTGGCCTCATTACTCAAATCTGTTTAATCAGATTCAAAACATCTGAAATATCAAACTTGGTTAGAAAAAATAAATGCCGCAAATTTGTCCAGCAAAATTACGAGGTCATAATTTAAACTACTATTAACGCATGATATAGTCAGACAGATTTTACACGTCTGGTGTGTAAAGCCCTAAATACTGAGGCCTAGGTTTGAAGCTTCCCTGAGGGCATTTACTGTGTCTTCTCCCTGGTCCTTCTCCCAGCATTCCTGTCTTCTGTCCACTAGCTTATTAAAGTCAGGCTAAAATGCCCCAAAACAATACATACAAAGAAAGGCATGGGCATTTTATATATTTAGTGAGATTCCAGGTATTTTTTTTCCAAAACAGCAATAATCTCATAGTTTTAACAGAAATCTCATTGCCTGGTGTGACTTACATACTCATTCTCCCTCTTGCTCTCCACAGAGAAGTTGTGCACATCCGTATTGGCTCCTCCTGATAATGATTCCACCTTGTAGCTCTGGGTCTTCCTGTTCTCACCCCTCTGAATTAATATGTTGTGCAAAGGAGGCCTGGTGTCCATCGAGCCCCTACTATGTCCATCCTTCACAGTTCCCACGCCAGGCAGCACTGTAATTGTCTGGGTGACATTGACAGAGTCTTCGACCTGATTTCCAGCATTTTCTACATGGAAAGTGCAAAGAAAAGTTCTCAATTTAACAATTTTATGGTTTCATACATATAAATTGGTGCTTAATAAAGACAAATAGTGACATTTAATGGTTGATTCTCTGTCTTGATTCTTGTAAAAATTTTACAACCCTCAAGTCAGTTTAAAAACTTGTCATATCTGGATTAAATTAAGAAAAGACACCAGAGATTGTTAGGTGTTAAGTTGTCTAAATGTAAAGAAGAAGCTTTTGGAAATCTGAGTCAGCCTAGTCCTCTCTCCCCAACCGGTCATGCCAGATCGTTGCCCCTCCCTGAGCCTGATTCTGTCGGAGGTTTCTTCCTGTTAAAAGGGAGTTTTTCCTTCCTACTGTCGCCAAAGTGCTTGCTCATATGGGGTCATATGATTGTAGGTTTTTTTTCTGTACATACAATAATCTGTATGTATTGTTGTAGGGTTAACCTTACAATATAAAGCGCCTTGACGTGACTGTAGTTGTGATTTGGCGCTGTATAAATGAAACTGAATTGAAAGTGTATTTAGGTTTGTTTGATATGGACGTAAAATTGCCATTTCTTTTTTTTCGTTAATATTTAATGGAAACATCTTCCTATTATCTCTTTTCTGAAGCACAAGTGGAGCTTAAGCTGCGACCTCAGAATCAAAAGCCAACATGTCATCGCTGTTCTGTTTTGTATAGAAATTGCCATATTACAAAATGACTGCAAAATGCTCGCTTGTGCTCATTCAATCCAGCAGGAAATTCTTGACTGTGTATGAGGACCCTGTTAAAAGCAGACAAAATAAAGTTAGCTCATTGCCTTGTGGGATGTTTGGAGCCAGAATTGAAGCCAAGTAATAAACAGAAACATGACAATTTCATATCCACAAATTTCCACAGTATGCAGGCCAAGAGATAGAGTCACAAGGAGGAACTGAGCGTAAACAAGACATTTTAAGGACCTTTAGAAGAAACGGTTGTATATATGTTTATGTGTGCATATATAAGGTGGGGAGAAGGCTGGGACAGGTATATTAATAGCCAGTGGTGTTGGCAAAGATTCCTGTCAAATCGTTAAACACAGCAAAGCAGGGACCATCTGTCTGAGAAGAAGAGGGGGGCTTCAGATGTTCCTCACTGAAATAGGAGAGGACCAAACTACCACCCATGTGCCACCCGGTCGACCACACCACCGCAAGGCCACAGTGGAAGGAGCTTACTGATCTCAGAGACGACGTCCTGGAGAGGCAGAGGGATGATGGGAACACACATGCAGCGACTCACACACACACACACACATACACACCCAAACACAGTTTAAAACTGTTAACTCAAAGCAGATTTTGTGTTTAAGAGCTGTGGTGAGGGCGGCGGACGGGCATGTAGGGGTGTAGCTCGTGTGGGCAGGCAGGCTAGCAGCCCACCCTTTCTCTGTGACCACCTGATCAGTTAGTGATGCGGTGGAGCTCCACAGTCTCCCAGGCTCACGAGAACTGAGAACAACAACTTGGATGTCAACAACAGCGTGTGCTGCAATAGAGCAGAATCTGAAAGTGCCTTTCAACCTGAGGCACCCTCCACATGTTTTGCCCCAAACTTTTCAATAACAGCCATATATATCCACAAGCAGGGACAAAAGAATTATGCCCTGTTTTAGATTTCTGCAAGCATTCCTTTTAATTGTCAATATAAACTTTTTTATAACCCTTCTAGGAAGTCTGGGGTGTTTTAGATTGACACATTACGCAATTTGTTTGTATAATAGCACAGGGGTAAACAGCACAAACTGCGGTGAGGAGGAGAGCTTGTTAATGTCTGGGAGGAGATCCTGTGCTGAATCTGGGGACATGGCTGTGGAAACCGCTGAGCTGCATCAACACACTCTGACCAACAGGGGCACTTGGGGTCATTTTCTTCCTCTCCGCCTCCTTTTCTGGATCTCTTCTCCAGTTGTGCAGATGGAGAAGGAAACGGATCAATACCCATGTCAATACTGTTACTGGTAGTTCTCATTTTAGGTGGATCTGGAAGCTGGAAAGTAAGTGAAAGAATGAGAACTTTGTATTTGTGTGTGTGTGTGTGTGTGTGTGTGTGTGTGTGTGTGTGTGTTTATGTTTGTATGACACTGTCACTGCTGAGTGCTTGTACACCACGCATTAGTGTGGCCAAACCAAACAACCAGGAAAAAGAAAACACACACATGGGCTCTTGGGTGCCTGACGTCAGTTGTGTGCCCAGGCGCACAACCATGTGTATTCACATGTAGGTGACATGTGTGCCATTTGACTAGTGTGAGCAGCAGCCATACATTTAAATAAAAGACCAGGCATAGGATGGTTCTCAGTGTGACAGTTAAGAAATCTAGCATTGGTATTCAATGCTAATTGGCTGTGATTGAGTGTTTGAATACTTGCGTTGGGAATTTCATCCCTGTTTTGTCAGACAGAGGTATCAAACATAAGGCCCGGAGGCCAATTCGGCCCTTTGGATACCTCTGGAGAATGTGAAGGACATACATTTTGGACTTTTAACTGTATTTTCACAAGTTTTACAGCTTTTCCTATTTATGAAGACCTTTGTCACATCCAGTTATACTAAATCAAAATAGTTAAGTTATACATATCTGTATTTTACACATTTACTACTTACAGTTTGACCCCATAGTTATGACAGATATTTTCCATTTACTACAGAGGCATGTAGAAAAAATGAGTGAGGGGAATTTCACTGGTCCAGCCCACATAAGATCAAAGTGGGCTGTATTGGCCCTAGATATAAAATGACATTGACAGCTGTGATCTAGGCTGTCTGCACCAGGGAAGCACATACTGTGCACATCCATGCTGTGTCCAAGAATCCATTAGCTTTAACATAAGGGCTTCACAGCAGATAGGGACATGGTCTGCACTCGGCCTCAGCTAAATACTATAAACCATAAACTTACAGAATATAAATGGTTAATTCTGGTTTGGGGGACTCTGTGTGTGCATATGCTACTGTGTGCATTATGAAGAAAGGGAAGGAGCAGTAGTGTCCTCTTCTTAAAACTATTTTCAAGTGTAACATGTCAATCATAAAACTCCTCGTGTTCTGTTTCGTATTTACGGACGATGTTCCAAAGGGACTTGTAGGAAAGCAGTATTAGCTGACGTGGGACCCTCCAACTTAGAAAGTCACGACTCCTGTTATGAAGTCAAATTTTTAGGAGTCTAGTGGGATTTGTTTAACGCAGGCCAGTGCACAATTGTGCAATGTAACCCCCCACCCCCAAACACAGACACACACGTATTGTTGTGATTTGCCAAAAAGCCCAGAAAATACGTTTTTGCATCTTTCTTTGTGCTTTTTAATCACAAGCAGCTCTGTCACAGCATCTTTAGCCCAGCCACTATAAATGCCTCACATTTAACCCAGGAGGGAACTGTTGGACTTGGTCAGCGAAGAACAGCACCCTAATGGGCAGGGCGCCTGTCAAAGTCAATGCATAATAACATTCAGGGGCGCACACAAACATACCCACACAAACACGCACACACGGGCAACAAGGTGTCAGAGAATCATTAAAAAAAGAAAAGAAAAGACTTCCCACCTTCTTTTTGCGGTGGCATGAGAACGCTGTTCAGTTTTTTGGGACTCGAACACACTCCCCGTCCCTCCAGGAGAGCCTGCAGGGGTCTGCTCTCCCCGGGCTGGTGCCGACAGGTCAAGCCGGAGCCGCAGCGCCCCGTGTACACTCCACACGGTTGTCCCTCTCCGAGGGCGCACGTCATGCAGCAGCCGCAGCCGGGCTCCTTCACCCGCTCCACACAGTCTTTCGGCAGCGGCTTGCACTGCAGGAGCGCGCCGGCGTCGCAAGGCTCACATCGAACCACGGGGCCCACAGTGCCGGCGAGCCGGGCGAATGCAGCCAGCGCGGCAACCAGACAAAGCACACAGACATCGGGCATTCTACCGATTAAGCTGGTCACAAAGGGACAGTATGTGAGTTGTCACGTAGGCTTAAGGGGACTCTCTGTGACACAGCGAGCTGGCTAGCCTTCTCCATCTGTATTTTCTTTTACGCGAAGTTCTCGTTTTTATACAGACAGAAAAAAACAGCCAACAGGTCACACCCTCCTCCGAATGAATAATGTAAATGGAGAGCCCCGATATGAGGGACCGCTATATCCAGTCTCGGGTGGAGGTGAGTGGGGGGCAGCCGCTGAAAACATTCAACTCTTTGAATCCTTTAACGTATTTTACTAAGTTCTGTTCACCTAGTGCGCTTCCAGCTCCAAATCTGCTCCGTCCATCTGGTTCCCCTGTAAAAGGAAAAGCCAAGTTATGTCAGCAGGTTGAAGCTGTTGGCTTTTTTATATACTGTTTACTAGTATAAATCACTTTCATTTTCATTTTGCAGATAAGATGACAAACTGCACCAAGGACAGTTCTCATGTGGTGACTGCTCCCAAAACTCCGGGTTTGGGAATTTGAGGGTTCTGCTCCACTGGTCCGATCTCCTGCTGGCATTAATCCTATGTGAGTGAGTGCCACTGGTGTTACCCCAAGCTCCCCCACCACACCCACATGCAATACTGATAAAACATTCCTCTGGGTAGGTGTATAGGTGGCCTCATACTATAACAATAATTTCTTTGCATATAGTGTTTGTATAAGTGTGACCGCATGCTGGACTGTGGGTGCAGCCAAAGAGGTATTGTTTAACTGCTCTGGTCTGCTAAAGCTGCAGAGATTGGATGCACATGCCAGCTACCAAGCACGTGCAGACCAGACTGCATACCTGACCCTTTTTCGCTCGGTATCCAGACCCCCTTGTGCCTTTCCTCCTGGATGCCTCCACCCTGTCATTGACCCCACAGGACTTCCAATTATTAAAAAGAAAATGTTGTGATTGTGCAGACTCAGCATCTGCCCCCCTCTACGTTCAGCATATCCTTCTGTTCTGCAATAACAAACGCAAGAGGGGGGCACATGCTGAGAAAATAATGTAATAAGTATAGTCCGTTGTGTGATTTCCACCACAGAAGCAGAAAAAGTGTTGAGACTCCATTATGAAAAACAAGCACTAGGTAAGGAAACACTCCCAGAATAGCGAGAAAACATCTCCAGCTGAGATTAGTTTTCTCATTACTTGACATGTTTTTTTCTCTTTTTGCATTTTTCAGCTTTTTTTGCATCTGAAATATTTAGATTCTGATCTGTGGCTTGTTTATTGTCTGCCCATCTGTCCAGGGTTGGGTTTAACTAAACGTACAGTTTAGACTAATTCAGCAGAAAGACACTTTTGGAAAACTGTGTCCACTTAGTATGAATACAGAAAACTTCTGGTTTGTGTCTGTAAGGGGTGACCGGGTTCATTGTGATGCGTTGTTATTGTTTGGCTGGCTAAACCAGCCCTCATATAAAACATGTAAACAGACTTGATATGCTGTTCTCCAGTTTTATGACAATTTGCTTGATTAGATATTGCGAAACGAAAAACATATACAATGGCATGTGGCAAAGGTAAACAGACATTCACTGGATCCTCCTGATTTCAAGATTCAGGAGTCAGAACAGAGTATGTTGTAATTTGCCTCGGGACAGTTTGGGTATAATAAAATGATGAAATGAAATCAGATAACTGCTAGCAAAAACATGCACATCTCATTTCCTAAACCATATGTTCAACTTGTCTCTGTTGCAGTCTCAGCAAACTGCAATAAGAGATACTATTTGTCTCACTCAACAATCTTGTCTTGGTCTTGCATCTGCACTTTTGTCTTTCACCCTCTCTGTCTTCCTCTGCCTCGGGGAATCTGATATCCTCTGGTTATTAATCTCTTCTTTAAAGTGTCCCAGTCAACATTCCTTTGTGATACAGTTTCACAATGCAGCACATTTCAGGCCATAAATCATTAATTGGAAACACAAAGTCACTGATGGTCCTCAGTAACACTGGCACAATGTACTTTATAATTTGTGGTTTTGTGAAGCCCAAAGGTTCTGCGCTGATTTATTTATTTCCTTCTCCCAAGAGTGATTCAAGAAGTGAATTTCCTTTCTGTCAACATGTACTGTCTTCATATTCAAGCTATGCCATCAGCAGGCACTGCACTCACTGACCACATTATGACCTGCGGATCACTTTATATAAAAACACTCATTTTACATTCTATTCATAGATCACGTTGACAGCACTGTTACTTAGTGATATGTTACTTGACTGACTTTCAAGCCCATCACAGTGTGCTGCAGTTAGCCTCTAGTTTGTTTACAGGAGATCTTGTTTTCTTATCTCTTCTTATTTTCTTTCTTTTTATTTTATTTTTTATCAAGAAATAGTGGAAAGAATGAGATTGGCATAGATTTTGTTGGACTTTAAATGTGACCCACAAAAAACACTAGGTCAACTTGCTGTCAGCAATAATGGGATACTGGTGGAGCCCCTGCACTCAGTCTGTTTCAGCCCCCCTTGTGATTGGCTACGTGTATATGAAGTCTAAAGTGGTCGTAATGGTAACAGGAGCATTCGGAGCTGTGACCGTACTAACTGGAAGAGCGACTCCAGCAGATTCCCAAGAGAACACCAGAGGTCTCTGTCCAGAAGCAGTCCTAGGAACAGCAAAGACAGTGCACCGAGTTTCTGAGGGTCTGTTACATTACTGAAATGATGGCCAAAATTAAAATCATAAAAACAAGATATCAATTAATATAAAAAGTTCCTCTCTTGAAAAAAGAAATCTATCCCTCCATAGTCTTTTAAGAGCAACTCATTCTTAAAGGATGACTGAACAAACAACCTAAATTTACCTGAACTCTGCTGTTCCAATTTGACTCTTCATCACAGTAAAATTAGTTCAACAGCCAAATAAGGGTCTTTCTTATCAACAGAATGCATCCTCAAACTGCAGCACAAATATTTGAAGATTTTTTTGCTATGTAGTTCCACTTATTTGCACTGCTGAGCCACTTTCAATGTTAACTATTTTTCTAAGGTGTTGGGATGCTTTCCCATCAGAAGGATGATTAACATGTAATTTGTCTGAATTATGTTGACTGTGGCTTACAGAGAAAAGGCATAAATAATGTGTACTGCCAACAGCATGTTGAAGAAAATCATTTGGTGCTCTTTAACTCAACCCGGGTGCTGACAGCAAAGACAGGCCTTGTCCATCATGGTGGAACACGTAGATGGGCTAATGAAGCCGGGATCTTTTCTGCAGGCTGATAATTGCTTCTGGGCTGTTTGGGGCCTCAAATGACAAGACTGTAAAGCATGTAGTAAAATCTGGTAAACTTAGAAGAATGTAGGGATTTCTTGGTGGATCATGGGAATCTGCTATCCCTATCATAATCAGAACTGACATTTAACATTACTGTTTAATGCTTTTAGCTGTCTTTTGACTTCAGCAAATTAAAGAAGAAGGGATGTAACCATATGTTGGATGCCAACTTGGGTGGCAGACATCTGCCTTTGTTAACCACCATCCTTGGGCCCTATTAATTTGGCTGTTTTGAGGTCAGGACTGACAGTTGAATTGTTTTCCAGAAACTTAAAGGCCTGCAGTTGATGTTACTGTAGTCACATCAGTTAGAATTTCTCTTAATGTTCCCTGATAGTTTTTCCCACTTGCATAGACATGACTCTTCCACGCAGCAACCAAAGTGACATAGGGATGTACATTCTTAGAAAGCATAGTGCTGACTTTTGAAACAATATACAAAAATAGAATATGTTTTTTTGTTATTTCACTTGCAAATTTGTGACACAGGTTTTGCTTCTATAACATAATGGAGGCCTTTCCTAGAGACAATGGTACAGCTTTTTGTTGATATCAGTCAGATGCCAAGCATGCTTTCAAAACCAGCCCTTCTTTTATTGATTGTTACAATGGGGGCTGCACTTCAGGAATGAACTCATATTTGTATCTGTTTTCAATAAATTGATGGAATGAGCATGGCTTGACGGCCCTCTGTCACTGTCTGCGTGACATGTGCAGAGAAACATCTGGAGGCAAGAAAGAAAGACAAGAAGAAGAATGTGGGGAGTTAAAAAGGTGAAGAAAGAATAAAAAAGATCACAAGCTCTACATTTTTTAAATCAAGGAAACTACATGTGGGAGCAAAGAGACGCAAAGAAGTTAGGGTTCGCGTATGTGTTATGATGTGTTTGCGGTGAGGTCTGTGTCTTTTGTTGGGCTCTGTTGGACTAGAGTTTGGTATGCCTGGCAGCTCTCAGCAGGAGGTCCTGCCCAGCAGAAGCTCACTAATTGTACAAACAGGCAGTGTGGCACCTTGGATTGAACTTGTGCCTTGAGGCCAGGTACAGCATGCTTTGGCATACTTTCAAGGAAAGATCAGAGTCATGTGCTCACAAGTGCTGATTGTCTTCAGGTCAGAAGTACTCCCACTGCGAGTTGGCGGAGGTAGGAGGTTGCTATGGGAAGGAGATACACGGCTAGACAATCTTGCCTGGCACTCTCAGGTTGACCAACTCAAGTGACACTTTCCTGAGAGTGGGCCAATTCCAGGCTGCTAAGAGGATCAGTTTCCCCTTTCTGCCATGACACACATACTCAGCTAGCACTACTCAGTAATCTTCAGGATTGCTGTTCATCAGGCACCAACTTTTCAAACACTTTTCCAAGCTTTCCAAAATTAGTGGGGTTTTGCAGTATGGAATCTGGACTCAGTCTAACGGAAACAACAAAAACACAAGAAACTACTGGTCAGAAGCAGGCAAAGGTCTGCTAGAGGAGCAAAATAGATTTGTGAGGTAAGGTATTGGAATCGGTTCTATAGAAAGGGAACATCCAGACAGAGGAAAAGCATTATGACATAGTATGTGACGTAGAGACGTGTCTAATCTTGGATCTTGGTGTAGCACAGCTTGCTCTGGGACTTCACATGCAGTCACATGACAGCTGAACAGGCAGGCTAACAAATCCATTAGCAGAATCTGTGAATGGGTATTTGGGACAGAGAAACCATAATACCACCGTGGTATTATTACAAGACCCAAATCACATAAAAGTAATAATAACACAAATCAAATTAATTTACTTAACACCATAGACAATTGCCTTCAGATGACCCCAAAGATAAAAGTGTTAAGGGGTCAGATCGGGAGACCTTGGGGGTGTCATGTTTTGGCTGTGTGCAGGCAGGAGAAGGACCCAAACGCAAAACTCACCACACAGGAATTAAACTCAAAAAGCTGCTTTATTGCAGAATGGCACAAAAAATAACAAAACTAAACTGGGACATGGATAAACTGACACATAGGGAAAGACAGCCATGAGGGAGACTACAACACTGACAAAGAGAAACACAGGGCTTAAATACACTGAGGGATAACAAGGGAATGAGCCACAGAAGGAGAGCACAGCTGGGAGTAATCAGGCTGGACGAGACAAGGGAAGCAATACTAGAAACGCTGACATGAGACACGGACCTTGAAAGTAAAACAGGAAACACTGAACTCCAAACATGTAAACTTAACAGCAACTGGGGAGACAGAACATGGGAACCTGAAA